TACTGCCCTGGCTTTTATTAATTATGTTCATCTACTAGGCCTCTGGGTTTAGGGTGATAATAGGTCTAGGTGCTGGTTTATAACATCATCTTTGTTGGATAGGAGTTTTGTTCCTGGGTTTGTATTTGTTCTCTGGAGTTTCAGAATGTTTGTTGAATGAGTGTTGCCTTTTTCCTGGTCTTCTTAGCTGGTGTGTTCAAGGGAGAATGCTTGATGGTGTTGGGAACTGGGAAAAGAGGAATGCAAGGGAGATGATCTTCAGATGCATTGGAACCATGGAGAGACAAGAGAGTAAGCTGCCTCTGATGTTCTACTCCATGGATAGAAACAACTTTTTAAATTAGATATGGGGTAAGAGACAATGTGGTAGATCTGCAGACATCCTAACAGGTCATCTGGAAGATGTGGTGAGTAAATGACCAGAGGGTATCCACCCCAGTTGGGTAATGGGACTCAGATATGAGGTGAGTAGGGAAAGGTAGGTGGGATGGTCTATGGAATCCACAGGAGACATGGAAAGAGAGAAGAGAAGCTGTAGTTGAAGTTCTGTTTTCAGCCCTCAGGGCAACCCTGAGTATTGGATCTCTGAGAGTGGAGAAGGTCTGTGGATAGTCTTCCTGGTTCCATACCCAACATCTTAATACTGATTCATTAGCTTCCCAGGGATCATTTATTTACTTATTTAGGCTTCTGTTGTGGCTAATCTGTGAAAGATGTCTAGTTTATTGGTTGAAAAAGTAGTATTTGGGCTGCAAATGCCAGTTAACAAGTATTCTTCTTGTGGGAGTTCAGATATGAGCACCCAGAGTTTGGAGGATGATAATCAACTGCAATTGCAGATGCAGGGGATCTGACATGCTCTTTGTTCTGTCACCTATACACACATGGAAAATATTCTTTTTCATACCTACAAATATACACATACAATGGGTCTAGACTTGTTTTCAAAAGCTCTTATGACTTATAAAGCAATAAGAGAAATCGGGTTGCTTTAAGTATATAATAAAATCATACAATATCTTCAAAAAACTACTGTCTTTCATTTATTTATAAAAATTCATTTCCTCACTCTGATACAGGTTTACATCTAATCTTCAATCATAGGAAACAAAATTATTTCTAAATTTTCTAACAGACATCCTTTTTTTAATCAAAGGAGAATGAGATAGTATTAGTAGCCAAAACTATTTTCTACAATGTAGAAATATCAGGCTTCAAGTAAGTGATTCCAATTTTGGTGTAACAGTCTCCTCACCCAACCGATTTTCTAGTATTTGTGAAGGAGAGAAGTGGAGTGCACCTTGTGAGTGGTAGTCAGTGATTTCTTTGATTTTGATTTTGATTAGAAACTTATAATTCTTTTTCAAGGGACAATGTTATATTTGTAGGTCTGTCTTTTTGTCCCCTTTTATCAGTGGTACTGTCTGTATGCTGTGATTTTTTATTAGTTATGATATAGTTATATTGTTTCTCTGGCAAATGATGGAACTTCACTTATTTTTATTTTATGGAAAATTGCTATATTAAGTTAGGAGTTTGTTGCTAAAGTTTTCCTGCCTGGCCCACAGTCAGGACAAATCTCCCTCACCTGCCAGTCCCACAGCCGCTCAGACCCGACCAAGTAAACACAGAGACTTATATTGGTTACAAACTGTATGGCCGTGGCAGGCTTCTTGCTAACTGTTCTTACAGCTTAAATTAATCCATTTCCATTAATCTATACCTTGCCACATGGCTCGTGGCTTACCAGCATCTTCACATGCTGCTTGTCATCATGGCAGCTGGCAGTGTCTCTCTGACTCAGCCTTCCACTTTCCAGCTTTATTCTCCTCCTTGTCCCGCCTATAATTCCTGCCTAGCCAATGGCCAATCAGTGTTTTATTTATTGACTAATCAACAACACATTTGACATACAGACCATCCCACAGCACTTCCCCCTTTTTTTTTTCAAAAAGGAAGGTTTTTAACCTTAACAAAGTAAAATTACATATAATTTGGGAATTTGGGCGTAGCTTCTCTTACTACTTCCTGCTGGAGGGGGACGCTGTATCTTATGGGGACACAAAGAAAATTTTAGGATCATGGAATAGTCCATGAGGCTGTATCGTCTGAGCCAGTTGCCTTGAAACCATTCTGGATGTTGGATCATCTGGGCCTTGGTGTCACCTTTCTGGGGGTCTTGGCTGGTCAAACCTGATGTATCTTAATCTGGAACAAATCCATAGCCTTTGGCTTTCTGTGGGAACAAAAGCAGAGTCTCCTTTCCAAAGCAACATATCCTTATATCCAAATTTTGAAGTCAAGGTACATTTAAAATATACATTTTGGCATAACTCAACAGTTTTTATAATCAAATGTTTTTCTGCAGTTAAAAATCCCAAAGAAAACACAATCCAGATTCTCTGTGTATTATTCATCTTCACATGTCTTATTTTTTATATTAACTTTACTGTCTCTTTAAAGACTTTATTTTTTAAAACTATGTATTTGTTTATATAACTGTATATATCACCTATTTTGTCTCTTTCATGCCTACGTATATTTTACACACATTGTAAACTACTACATCTGAAGCTCTTATTGTGAATCTATTGTTTTAAACTGCTGCAGCTTTGGCTGCTGGCTCCGCCCACCTCAGCTTCCCAACATGGTGGTGTTATGCTTACCGCCTGCTCTGGGAGCTATTGTGGGTCTATGCTTTTATCCAAGCACCGTGTAGCCCAGAAACCTCTTTTTCTGTTTTGTACTAGCAAAGGCTAAATCCACCATGCAGCTTAATGTGCCACTTGCAGAGGCCTCATTCCTGCCAAACTGCAGGTTGAGCTCGCACGCTAGGAGTAGCTCAAACTGGCAGCTGCCGCTCATTTGAGAGAGACAATTAGGAAGCTGTTTTTAGCTCCATTTTAGAATCTTTTTTCTCAGTCTTTAGGTGGAAACTCTTGCCACCACGTTGGACGTCATTTGTTGCTAAAGTTTTCCTGCCTGGCCCACAGTCAGGACAAATCTCTCTCACCTGCCAGTCCGACAGCTGCTCAGACCCGACCAAGTAAACACAGAGACTTATATTGGTTACAAACTGTATGGCCGTGGCAGGCTTCTTGCTAACTGTTCTTACAGCTTAAATTAATCCATTTCCATTAATCTATACCTTGCCACATGGCTCGTGGCTTACCAGCATCTTCACATGCTGCTTGTCATCGTGGCAGCTGGCAGTGTCTCTCTGACTCAGCCTTCCACTTTCCAGCTTTATTCTCCTCCTTGTCCTGCCTAGCCAATCACCAATCAGTGTTTTATTTATTGACTAATCAGCAACACATTTGACATACAGACCATCCCACAGCAGGAGTTCCTTAGGTTTTTGATTTGGAGGAATTGTGGAGGAACAATTTTAGTTTTTATCTTCTTGATCTTAGAAACTTGTATTTCTTCATTTCTTGGTGTATCTGTATTGCTACTTGTTATCATCATCATTTTTTTCTCTTTAAGTTATTGATGCAGTTGAATCATTGGGTTTTGGTTTGTAAAGTCTCATATATCATTGTCTCTGTTTCACAATTACTTTCATAGGTCAACATTTCTGAGCTCACAGTCACCTTTGGGAACATCTGTTGAGGATGTGCCCCATCAGAGTAGCTAGTTGCTAAGTTTTTAGCAGATTTTGTTGATTTATGATTGATGGGTGATAGCCCTTCCACTGAGTGTGCAATATCCCTAAGAAAGTTGACCTGCACTAGATAAGACAGCAAGCTTGACATAAAAGACAATGACTATGTTAGAGAGAAAGCCTCGAAACAAAGATTCCTCATGGTTTTTGCCTTCAGTTGCCTGATTGAATATCTATCCTAAACACTGACAATGATGGATTGTGATATGGCGGAATGAGTCAAATAAGCACGTTTGTCACCTAAGGTGCTTTCATATAGAGAATTGAATCAGAGCAAGAAAAAAGTAAGTTATAACAGAATGTGATAGGTGCTGGGAATGGTGACTTTTGTGGGAATGTTGAACATATCAAAATTTAGATGGCAAAAGACATAGAAAGCAGCATTATGATCTCAATTGGTCATTCTTGTAATACTTTGAATAAAATACTGTTAAAAGTACTGCAAACAATGGAGGTAGAGGTCAAAGATTTCAATGGTAATTAAAATAGAGGTCATGTGAGTGATATTTTGGACCCTAACTTTTCTTATTTTCCCATGCCCTGAAGAAATTGATTGAGTAAGGCAGAATTAAAAAAAAATAATGGGGCCTGGAGAGATGGCTCATAGGTTAAGCATACTGTCTGCTTTTCCAGAGGTCCTGAGTTCAATTACCAGCAAACACGTGGTTGCTCACAACCATGTATAATGAGATCTGATGCCCCTTTCTGGCATATGGCAAACTTGCAGAAAGAACACTCTTTACATAATAAAAAAATAAATCTTTTTAAAAAAATAATGGGGCTGATTTCTTAGATGGAATAATGACTTTTTTGGATAGCTATTACTTATGGTTCATTCAGTACAACATTACAAAAATCACGAAGTGGACATAAATAAATGAAAATTCTATTGGTTGTAGAGAAAAAGAGCACTATGAATTTGCAGAAGGTAGTCAAATGCTGACCAGAGTCAGGAATATTCAAGAAGATTATCACCATTAAAAAGAAGGCCCTTATTCTACATCAGAAGCCTAGCAAAGTGTCCCAAGGGTAAGAATGCATCCTTATATGCCCTCAGTTAATGGAGGGATTAGGCAAAGTGATTGCCATTCCCAGGAAGCAACTTTATTCAAAGCCTGCTGCAACTCTGGTCTAAGCATGGCAGAGGCCATCATAACTTAGAAACCAAATTTGGGAGAATCATTGATGTTGACCTGGTTCTGGAGACAAGAATGATATAAAATTTAAGATTATACATTTTTAGTCTGCATTTTCAGTTCAGCTCTGTTGTAGGCATCTGTGTTTGGTATGGTAAGTGCTCCAGTGAGAGGACTGTCTTAGTTCAATGCATGATACCATGAGGATGAAGCCTGAGTTATATTTTGAGACCGTAAGATGTTGAGATAATTAATCTATGAAATATCTTACATAGAGAGCTAGCTGCATATAGCGAGAGGAGGTAACCATAGAGAGACATGTATGGGAAGCTGTGGAGGGAGAGAGCCATCTAAGCCCTTTGAAAATGAAGCCTCATGTCTCTGACACAGAGCTAGCTACCATATTCAATGGTTGCCCTGCTGGGTCTTAGTTTTCCCTTGGTCCAATCTTTCCTCACTGTGTCTTAGTTCCTTTCCTTTGGGATGGTAATGGATTTTCTGTGCCTTTCATATGTTGGAAATATTTAAATTCTTTTCTGATTTTATAATATGCCACAGTAAAGAATTTGTCTTGAGTGTGAAAGGAGACTTTGGACATTTTAACAGTGTAGGAGTTGTTGCAGACTATGAGAATCATTGAAGTGACTAAATGCATTTTCTTCATGGATGACCCTTGAGCCTATAGTGACCTGGGTGAGAATCTAGTCAACTGAATAAAAAACTCACAGATAGGATGAGGTATTTGAACATGTGTCTCTCCTTGGTTACTTTCTTTGGTGTTCTTGTCCAACCTCACTGGATAAAATATCTCATTGGGGGTGGTGATATGTGTTTCTACAGCCTAAACCCATTTCCTTTTTTATGTTTCTACTATTTTGTGGTTGAAATGAAGCAGCCAGCTTCCTTCTTTTGCTGCCATGACATCACGACCAGTATAGATAGTATCACTAAATCACATAAAATACAATTGATGGAATTGGTATTCAATGCTAAGACATTTTGCTAGCCTGAATTTTTTTAAATTTTGATGTTTCTATTTTGCTTCTGAAGAAAAGCTTTTGCTGAGTAGACCTGATTCCCCTAAAAGTAGCTCTGTAAAGCAGGTTAGCCTCCAACTCAGAGATTCACCTGACTCTTGCTCCCACATGCTGAGATTAAAGGTTGTCCAACCTTCCAGGTTTTAAATATATATATATATATATATTATTGGGTGATGGGCCTAGTGTATATGTTTTTGTACATGTCAAGCATGTGATGTTTTGCTGAGGTACACCCTCCCCCCAGTTTAAGTTTTGAAATTCAGCAGAAGATACTGTTCTCTTCCAGGATGTAGTGTCTGAGCCTTCTGAGCCATTAGATTAAATTGTGTGTCATATTTTTTGCTTGTTGTATTTTTTGTTTTTTTTTAATGAGTATGATTCTTTTGTCTATTACATGGCTATGCACCACAGTATGCCTGTCTTAACAGTAGTCCAAAGAGAGTCTTAGAACCCACATGCCTGGAATAATGAACAGTTGTGTGATTCCCCAATATATGTACTGACAATTGAGCCCATTTATATGCAAGACCACTAAGAGATCTTTAACTACTGAGCCATCTCTCCTTCCCTGTGTTGATTATTTATGATCATCATTGATATTGCTAATGTTATCTTCTATTTGTAACTGCTTAAGTGCACAGTTTCTTTTAGTAAGATTTATTAAAGTACTGTATAAATTGGAGCAATTCAGGTTTCTGGAAGATGAATACGGAACTCCAGTAAATGCCGAACTCTTTGTAGAAACTTCAGTAAAAAAAAAAAAATCTCTGAATCCATCTTAACTTTTTGTTTGTTTGAATGGAAATTTTCAGTGCAGATGCGTTCTTAATATTTACTTCTTGATGTCCTACAACTGATTGGATAGACTAGGCTAACTTTCAACTCAGAAGCACATATACCTGCCTCTACCTCCTAATTTCTGGGATTAAAGGCATGAGCCATTACACTCAGCTTACAAATCTTCTTTGTAGTTAAATGTTCATACAATATCTCTGATATGTGTTCAGTACTGTTGAAGTGTTTGCTTGACTCTCTATGTCTGTTAATAGGCATTTCTCTTGCAAGGTGGTATCCTGTTCAAAGCATTAGAAATAATAGAAGTAAATCTCCTATTCAGTTTCTTTGTAAAGTAACTTGATGGTTTCATTGAAATATCTGAGTTATGGAATACATGTAACAATCACCAGAATTGTATGACTATATTGTCAAATAAGCACACATTTACTATGTTGTATCATACTTTTTATTTTGTACATGTCGATGGCATATTTATGGACGGCATATTTTAGAATACAGTGACATATAATGATGTGCATGTTGACATCACTCATGAAGAATGGGCATTGTTGGATCCAGCACAGAGGAATCTCTACAAAGATGTGATGCTGGAGACCTATATGAACCTCACTGCTATAGGTAATAGTGCAAATTTTTCTTCACATTTTAAATAAGGGGACAACAGTTTCTTGGTTATTAATGCTCTTCAGTAATTCTGATTGAGAATGAGGAAGAATGAGGTAAATAAAACAGGCTTAGTTCTAAGGATCAATGAAGATAGCAATGTAAACTTTTTGGCTTCTTGTAATATTTCATACATTTCCTCATTCAATGTTTTAGGCTACAATTGGGAAGATCTTGAAGTTGAAGAACATTGTCAAAGTTCTCAAAATCATGGAAGGTAATTTTCTTGTGCAAGCTGATACAAATGGGCCTCTGGGTATATTTAACTTATCTGGAAGTTTTAAGGAAGTGAAACATTGTAAGTAATCACAGCTTAAAATGCCTTCATGATCATTACATGCTCACAAAAAATATACCTCAATGGCAGGTAACTGAATTGTTTTTGCAAGTCATTCTTTTAAGAAGGAAGACAAGGAATCAATGCCTTAAGAGAAAGCATCATTTGAATAATAGCTTCATCAGATCTATGCTATACAAGTGACAGTCCATTTAGTTTCATACTACTCAAATTACAAAATGTGTACACACTGAATGTATGACAAGAATATGTACACAAAGCCGGGCGGTGGTGGCGCACGCCTTTAATCCCAGCACTCGGGAGGCAGAGCCAGGCAGATCTCTGTGAGTTTGAGGCCAGCCTGGACTACCAAGTGAGTTCCAGGAAAGGTGCAAAGCTACACAGAGAAACCCTGTCTCGAAAAACCAAAAAAAAAAAAAAAAGAATATGTTCACAAACTTTTGATAAGCAAATAATCCATAGTGAAAGCATTGTTACTCAAAAAGTTATTCTGTCTTTGCTAATTTTAATAAGATAGGTAGTTAGCATCAAGAATTTAGTGGAGGTTGTTTTAGAGAAACATTAATTCCTATATCACATGTTGATGGGGAAAAGAAACTCCAACTGTAAATAAAATGTGGAAACCTCATTATTCTTTCTTTATAGTTATATCATATGTCACTTTGCATACCAACCATATGAACATAAGGATATGGAAAGGAATAATGTACATCTCTCAATCTCAGAACAATTACATGACACGTAGTAGCCCCATGTTGAGTAAACTTTTTTAATGAGGTTCAAATTTACAAACAATTGGTTTTCCAGATTAATTTGGAATAGATCAACAAACACACCACAGAAAAGTCCTATGAGTACTAGGCCTGTGTAAATGCTTCTGTTTGTCCTGGTTCACTCTGAAAATGTAGCATTATTCACAGTATAGGAAAATTTATCAAATATAAGTGAGGTAAATGTCCGAATTCTCCCAGTTCTCTTCAAATACGTGAAAAATCTCATAGATAAATGATGCCATAAATATGAGCCAGGTAGTAAAGACTTTTACTATGACAAGCATGTTCAAATATGCAAAGCCATCCTTAATGAAGGGGAACAACATGAGTGTAAACACCATGTTAAAACCTTAAGATAATATAACTCTTTCTATTCACACACATTTGTAAAATTAGTTCATGCAGATATAAAGTCTCAACAATGTAATGAATGTAGCAAAGCCATTAAATGTTTCAATTATCCTTGCAGGCATGAAAGAAGTCATACTACAGAGAAATTATCAGAACATACTCAGTGTGGTAAAGCCTTTGTAAATCACAGTCATCCTCCAAGGCATGAAAGAACACATACTGGAGAGCAACCCTATGAATACAATCAATACGGTAAAGTCTTTGCAGAAGACAGTCATCTTGAAAAGCATGAAACAACACATAGTGTTAAAAAACCTTATAGATGTAATCAATGTGGCAAAGCCTTTGCCCATTGGAAAATTCTTCATTTTCATAAAAGAACACATATGGAAAAGAAGCCTTTTGAATGCAATCAATGTAGTAAAGCCTTTGTTCGTCACAGGGCTCTTAAATTGCATGAAAGAACACATACTGGAGAGAAACCTTATGAATGTAAACAATGTGGGAAAGCCTTTGCTTATCACAGTACTCTTCAAAGTCATGAAAGTACACATACTGGAGAGAGGCCCTATGAATGTAATCAGTGTGGGAAAGCCTTTGCTCGTCATCGTAATCTTCAAGTGCATGAAAGAACACATACTGGAGAGAAACCCTATGAATGTAATCAATGTGGGAAAGCCTTTGCTCAAAACAGTGATCTTCAAGTGCATGAAAGAACACATACTGGAGAGAAACCCTATGAATGTAATCAATGTGGGAAAGCCTTTGCTCGTCGTGGTACTGTTCAATTGCATAAAAGAACACATACTGGAGAGAAACCATATGAATGTAATCAGTGTGGAAAAGCCTTTGCACAGTGCAGTCATCTTCAATTACATAAAACAACACATACTGGAGAGAAACCCTATGAATGTAATCAATGTGGGAAAGCCTTTGCTCGTCGTAGTAATCTTCAAGAGCATGAAAGAACACATATGGGAGAAAAACCCTATGAATGTAATCAGTGTGGGAAAGCCTTTGTTTGTCAGAGTAATCTTCGAGGGCATGAAAGAACACATATGGGAGAAAAACCCTATGAATGTAATCAGTGTGGTAAGGCTTTTGCTCATAACAGTAATCTTAAAACGCATGAAAGAACACATACTGGAGAGAAACCATTTGAATGTAGCCAGTGTGGCAAAGCCTTTACTCGCCGCACTACTCTTCAGTTGCATGTAAGAACACATACTGGAGGTGAAAGCATACAGTTGTAATAAGTGTGGTAAAGCCTTTGCTCATCACAATGCTCTTCAATTTCATGAAAGAACACATAATTGAGAGAAACCCTATGAATTTATACAGTGTGGTAAAGCCTTTGCACAGCCTAGTCATCTTCAAGTACATAAAAACACCTACTGGAGATTAACCCTATGAATATTATCAATGTGGTAATGCCTATTGAACACCCAGTAACCCTATAACTGTCAAACTTTTAGTGTGTAATTGGTCTCTTAAAGCCTTTAAATATAACATTAGATGTTGAAGATCTGAAAAAAAAACTAATAAAAAGGAAATATGAATATATATGAATTGGCATGATCTTCAGCCAACATACTTACATTCAGTTACATAAGATTAATTATTTTGGAAAAAATCTAAAATGTGTCAATAATCTGTTCAAGCATTATAATATCTCTTTTTATTTTGTTTACACATGTCAATTAATATGGACAAAAGACCTATAAATTTAAATCATAAGGTAGCCCTATTAGATTTCATACTTATTTTCAAATACATGAAATAATAAATTCTAGTGTAAAATTTTACAAATGTGTATAATTGCTTTTCTGTTGCTTTGATAATGGATCATATCTAAGTGAACTTAAAAAAGGTTTCAATTTAGCCCTTGGTTCCAGAGCAATACATGAACCCAGTAAAAGTGGCATGGAAACAAGTGTCAGACACGGCAGTTAAATCAGGAGGTTAAGAATTCACATTCTTGAGTCTACCAGGTTGACCTCAGTCTGTGGCTGTGGAGAAGGCTTTGCCCTGGAGTAGATGGGAATGGGGGGGGGGAGTTGGGGGGAAGGTGAGGGGGATGGGAGGGGGGAGAACAAGGGAATCCGTGGCTGATATGTAGAACTGAATTGTATTGCAAAATAAATTAAAATTAAAAAAAAAACTAAAAAAAAAAATTCACATTCTTGATCTGCAGCATGAAGAAAAATGTGTAAATTGGAAATGGTAAGCAGATGGGAACTCTCAGGCCAATCCCCAGTGACAGATTTCCTACAGCAGGGTAACATTTCTTAAATCTTCCCAAATGATATCACTGACTGAAAATGACTTATTTCGCTAACTTCAAGTCTCCATGCTTTCTTTCTGAAACATGGACCAATTCATGATAGTGAAAAACTCTGTAATCATTTAGATGCCTCAAAACCCATGGTACCAGAATTACAATAGAAAAACATTCATGATTTAAAGTTAGTTTTAATATTTTTTTAATTTTAATTAAGCAATATCTGTATGTCCTTCTGTGGGTATATCTACGTGCATTCTAGTTCCCAAGGTTAGACCATTGGCCCTTCTTACAGCAGGAATTACTCAAAGTTGTCGAAAACCAGACCTTGGTCCAGGAAATGAATTTGAATTAAAGGCTTGGCCATTTCTCTATCCCTGTCAACACTTTAATCAGTATTCCTTTTTTTTTTTTATTTTTCGAGACAGGCTTTTTCTGTGTAGTTTTGTGCCTTTCCTGGAACTCACTTTCTAGACCAGGCTCACCACCAATTCAGAGGTCACACCTGCCTCTGCCTCCCGAGTGCTGGGATTAAAGGCATGTGCCACCACCGCTCAGCCCCTGTCAACATTTTAAAGTGCTTTATGTCATCTCGATACCAGGAAATATGTATGTACTCACACAAAAGAGACCCTACCTATGTAAACTTTATGTAAGACTTTAGACATCACAATTGTTTTCTGTTTCAAGGGGAAAAAAACTTGTTTTAGCCGGGCAGTGGTGGCGCACGCCTTTAATCCCAGCACTCGGGAGGCAGAGGCAGGTGGATCTCTGGGAGTTCGAGGCCAGCCTGGGCTACCAAGTGAGTTCCAGGAAAGGCACAAAGCTACACAGAGAAACCCTGTCTCGAAAAACCAAAAAAAAAAAAAAAAACTTGTTTTATGTCTTTTTCCTTGTAGCTTTGAAGTAATTAAGTTATTAACCATATTCACTAAAGACTGATGTGAAGACTACATTGTGGCATCTATTTTACAACATGAAAGATAGATATTGAACCATTCTATATGTGTGGCAAATTCAATTAGTGAAGTTTATTTTGTGGTCCTTTCATTCCTTCTGTGGTTTTTGTTCACCTTTTTTGACTCTCATGTAGTAAGAGGTATTTATCTGCTGCAATGTATAGAATGGGATGGCGATTATCTAAGTGTTTGATTTTTATTTAAGTCTCAGGCAGTATGTGATCACACTTTTCAAGTAAGGGTTTTGGGAAAGGGTGATGGACTTCTGTTCTTGGTTTTATTTTTAATATTTTTCACAAATTCCCTTGGAATGTTGTTTGTTATCCAGCTTGGTTTGAATGTCAGTAATTAGTCTTGCATACATTAGAATTCATGATCCCTCCATGTCAGTCACCTGAGCAAAAGTCTAAGGGTAGATGATATAGTTTCATTGATTGTTGTTTTGTCAAATGTGTAGGGAAAAGGTGCTGGGTAAAGAAACCCAGAATGGCCAGGTGGTGGTGGTGCATACCTTTAATCCCAGCACTTGGGAGGCAGAGGCAGGTGGATCTCTGTGAGTTTGAGTCCAGTCTGGTCTCCAAAGCAACTTCCAGGAAAGGCAAAAAGCCTCACAGAGAAACCCTGTCTCGAAAAGCAAAAAAAAAAAAAAGTAAGAAAGAAACCCAGAATGATCCTGGAGCCCAGAACTAGGGAAAGATGACACAGATAAGGCCAGTTAAAAAAAAACTCACACAAAAACCAAACAAACAAAGAAACAAACAAAAGAGAAACAACACAGTTTGGCTCAAATCAGTGCTATCTCTTCCCCTGACCAACTGAGTTGTAAAACCAACCAATCACAGAACAGGATAGTAGAATCCTGTATCTAGGGCCCAGGAACAGGGAAGGAAACAAAACTTGTATTTTGTACCTGAGCCATGTACCTGAGCCAGAGAAACGAAACAAGGAAACATGCCCTGACCCTGAAATTGATTCCAAAATAACACTCTTGGTCCCTAGAATCAGAGTCAGTGAAAGAAATGAGCCCTGACCTTAAAGGAAGTGTCAAAATGCCAAGAAAGGCCAGTGAAAGGAAAACAATTTTTCCCTGTAATCAGGACCGTCTCTGTGCCTAACCCACAAAATTGGCCAATTCCTGGGCAGAAAAAAAAAACAAAAAATGATAGTTTGACTCCATCCCCAAAACATCCTATATAAACTTTCCTGTCTGGTCAAAGGAGAGTTATTCTCTCCACTCTGGTAGATGCAGCTATTCTCCTGGACTCCTAATTCCCAAATAAATCTCTTTCTCAAAAGTGTTTTGGGTGTGAAAACCTTCATTCACTGGTTCACAGAAGAACCTTGTTGGATTGAGCAAGGGGGAACTGAACAAAAGAATCTTGCTGAGATGTCTCACAGTGGCTTGAGCAAGGGGGAGCTGAATGGAAGATCCTTCCTGAGTAGACAGAGCAAAAGAGCTGAAAAGTAACACTTTTTTTCCTGAGCAAGAGGAGATGGCGACATTTTTGTAATTTCTTTGGCCAGAGAAGCAGATATTTTCTAGGAAGCCCCCTTAAGTGGGCGCTGAGCAAACTCAGCTGTAGTGGCTCTGTAGGAGAGGAGCAGGATTGCTATATCCTGCAGGGAGACCATCCCCCATCATACCAGGTATAGCCTGACTTTGCTGAAGAGTCAGGAAACCCTTCCCTGCTTAAGCACTTCCACGCATGACTTTCCTGAGAAATCAGAAAATCTTCCCTCCAGGGTTGGGCTAAACAGCTCCAGGTGTCCAAGACACCTTCAGGGCAGAGTTGTTGTTTTGAGCAGCTTCAGGTGTCTGGGATACCTTGCCATTCAGGAAAGAACTATCTCCTTGCAATTACAGCCATCAGAGATGTGCTAAACAGCTCCAGGTGTCTAGGACACCTTCAGGGCAGAACTACTGTTCTGACCTGCTTGAGATGTCCAGGATACCTTGTCCTTCAGGGTTGAACTGTCTCTTTGCAGTTGCAGCTGTCAGAGTTGTCCTAAGCTGCTCAAAGTGTTTTCTGACTCCCAGGTACTCAGGACACCTTTGCTCAGAGTTGCAAATCTCACATTTTGGTGGGAAAATTGGAACCAAACCCAGAGTTCTTACAACCACTTTACTTACAAATACATTTTAATGGTGTTAATTTTAAAATACTTAATAGATAATTTAAAAAATCATTAAACACTTCCTGCATGTATCCAAAGGAACATTTTGTTCTATCCCATGCTTCTCTATGTCCTTATCTCTTATGCATTTGGCACTTCATCCCAAAGTATTGTCTTCTAAGGGAATTATCCAGAGACACCAGAAAATGTAATAGCAGTGAGATCTACTTTGTAAGGTCTACTTTTTTCCATCTTCATATGGTGATCAAGGTTACATTACAGCCTTGCACAAGAAAGGCATTTCCAACACAGCTGTCTCATTGATGCTCAAATAAGATTAGTTGTAATATTAAATCAATAAAATATTGTCTTTTTAGATTGTAAACATTTTCATTGTAAGATAAAGCAAAGTAGGAGAAATTGAATGATAAATTCTATTTCCAAGTGAAAATGATATATTGCTATCTCTTTTGTTTTTCCTTTTATTGCATATGAAATTATTTAGTTTATTCTGAGGACCAAACATTTGTTTATAGCAGTTTCTCAGATCAACAAATGAATGTGAGAGAATAGCTTGAATGTCAGTTATCAGTCATGGATATTATATGAATTCATGATCTTCATGCATCAGTCTCCTGAGTACAAGTCAAAGGGTAGATGATTTACTTCCAATAAATGTTATTTTCTCAAAATATTTTAACAATATTAATGTTAAAATACTTAATAGAGAGTATAAAAACACTAAATACTTATGTGTGTATACAAAGAAACATTTTCATCTATCTGGAAGAGAATTAATAATTCAAGTTAATCAGTAATCAACTGAATATTTTATAATAGAACTTGACGTACTATGTATATGCATATATTATTTGAAGTTCCATGCATCTTCATGTCCACCACAGTTATCCATATGGCACAATATCTTGAAGTATTGCCTTTTAAGGGAATTATAGAGATACAAGATAATGTAATAACCATGACATTTACTTTAAAAAATCTGGTGTGTGTGTTTGTGTGTGTGTGTGTGTATGTGTGTGTGTGTGTGTGTGTGTGTG